AACCCTCCCCCTCCTCCTCTTCTCTGTCCTCCCTCCAATACCACCCCCTCTTCTCTCCTGCCATCTTGCAGGCCAGTGGAGCCAGACTGCAGGCGTTGAGGGAGTCACTGGACCTGCTGGGCAGCGGGTGACACAGATTTCCGGTCTGTGTGCGTGTGTGTGACGAGAACAGGGAGGGGGGGATTAAGCTCCAAATCACTAGAAAGGCACTGAAGGGGTGTGGGGTGTGTATGGAGGGGGTGCAGCAGATCCAAGGATTTGAAATTCCCCCTTTGTCTGAGAGATGAAGAAACACTAGACTGTGGACTTTTATTAAAAGAGTGTGTGCTTCTCATTCAGTGAGAGCATTGTAATAGCATGATGCTGGAGCTCACTGCTTTTCTCTGCTAGTTGGCAGTGTCCTGCGTTGGCTGGCGGGCTGTGCTTTCTCTCTTTCCTTGCCTAACAAACATGCACACACACACACACACACACAACCCCCCCCACCCCCACAGATGCACGCACACAGACACAGAGACACACACACACACACAGTCCCTCTGCGATCCCCCTGACTGAAGGCGCACAGGAAGTGCAGCCGTGGCCCAATTATAGCGTGACACCTCGGGCCGGCCGTTGCCATGGTTACGTCTTCCCTGCGGTCCCCTGGAGTGTGGCGCCGAGGAAGAAGGTCTTATCACATCAGCCATCGTTACGGCAACAAGCAAAAACCCACCCTGTAGCCTCGGTCCAGCTGGCTGTTTATTCAGCTTCTAATGTGTGTGTGCTTGTATATGATCTATACTTGAATAAAGAGGGAAATTGCGTCACTGTGTGAATAGAGGAGAGAGTGTTTGTGATTATGTGTGCATGTCGGGTAGGTGTGTTCCAGCGCATGCACTGGACTTGCCAAGGCAGCATGTAGGTGTGTTTGTGTGTGTGTCTGTGGGGTTGCGATAAGGCTCTCAGCCACACCATTAGGTGATTCATAAGCCACACAACCTCTCACATGCAGGAACACACGTGTGCACGCGTACAAGCAGAAACACTATCGCAAACAGACACATACATCCAATTAAAAAGAAACACGCATATACAGTGGCACAGTATAAACCCAGCCTGTAGACAAGTACACATGGCCAATTTCTTTTATTTCAAAAGGGCAAACAGAGCTATACAGTACAAGCTGCACATGAAATAATTTAGCCTAGGCTGAACTCATTCATTTCTTACTGATGCAGTGACGTCAGAACAGGATCAAAACTCCCCAAGAGAAACAAAACATTTGGCTTCTTTTTTTATGTCGAACACAATACATCCAAAATGGAAAGGGATGTAAAAAAAGACATAACGTTTTCCAGATATTTACAGTCTATTTACAGCATTTTTGTCATCATCTGAATATTGACACACATTGGTATCCTTCTTTCTCTCCTCTCCATTTCACTGATTGTCAAAAGAAAGGATGGGAACGAGTGTGGACATTCTTAAACGGAGCTGAAGCCCCTCACTAAACACAAGATCTGAAGATCTCTGAACCACAGTCCGAGCATGTTATCATGGTGTCCCCTGTGTTTTTATTCAACTGTAGTTCTTCAACAATCATCCAGCCATGATCCTCTGACAAATGCTGCCCCCACAAGCATTACTATCCATCCAAAGCTCCATTGCTTCTCTCCTGTGCCAGACCCAAAGTGAAGTCGGAGCCCCTTAGATCAAACCCAGACACTCTGCTGTCAAACCCAGGGCCTCCTGGCTTCCTCTTCAGCTCCTCACACTTCCTGTATTTACAGATCTGGTGTCCCCTCTTGCGATTGCGGCAGCTGCTGCACTGTTCGCAGTTTGTCTGACGCCGGCAGGGTACGCACTCCCCACACCTCTTCCTCTTCCTGCGCCCTCCGCCACCCCCGCCCAGAGAGCCAGGAGAGTAGCCCTCGGCCACCAGCCCCTCGATGCCCTCAGCTCCGATGGCAGCGCTCCTCCAGTGGCTGCCCCCCATCTGGAAGCCTGTCAGCGGGAACAATGCAGGGCTGAAGGGAAACCAGGCACCCAGGAAGGGTTGGAAATCAGTCCTGCATCCTGAGGAGTCCTCTTCCTCTTCCTCAGGCCCTGATCCTCCTCCCTCCCCATCCCCCTTCACACCCTTTGCCTCTGCTGCTTCTCTTTTAGCCGGCTGGCTGCTCTGTGCTCCCAGGCTGGCCTGCTCTGTGGTGGCGGGGGTCAGAGCCAGAAGCCCTGCGCGCATCAGCAGTTCTGCGGCATGAGCCAGGTGCAGCCCGCTGGGCGACTCCCACATGTCGGGCCAGGAGGGTGCCCGGCGAGGCTTAGTGTGCCCAGATTGGGCAGCCCGCGGCTGGGCAGGGGAGGGCTGAATCAGGGCTTTCACATCCACAGCTGGGGAAGGGGTGGAGATGTAATGGGAGAGGCTGTAGGGGTGGTTGGAGCGCTTAAGGCTGGGTCTCAGTGGCTCATTGGGGATTTTACTGCTGCTGTGGGCTTGATCTGGGGAGGAAGGGCCAGCGATGTCTACGGCGGTGGACATAGCAGTGGCTGTGTGTGGGGGGTGTCTGTCTTTGTGTGTGTGTATGTGTGTGGGAGGAGAGGTGAGGGAGAAGGGGACTGAAGCCGATGCTGTGTTGACAACCGTCCTGCTGTTACTTCAGCCAAAATGGCAAGCCTTGGCCTGTGTCCCTATTCCCATTCTCTGCAGCAGCCTCAGAGTCCTGGAGTGCTAGAAATGAATAGGGAATGAAGGAGAGGAAGGTTAAGAATAGAAATGTTGGAGAGACAAATACAGAACAAGAGCAAACAGAGGAGGTGAAACTGGAAGAGCCACTATACACAGTGTCAGAGAATCAGTGTAGACAGCCTGTGCTTAAAGACAATATAACATAAATGCATATGGATTAACAAATAACACTGCTTGAATAGAGATGAACAGGCCCATGTATCAGACCGAGTGCTTGCCTGGCCAGTGATTTCCGCATATAAGAGGCAGTATCCCTTTAAGAACTTCACGGTATATCAATGCAATCAATAACAGAGCGACAACAATATGCAAAGATATGCGCATATGCGCAGGTCAAATGTGGAGCGCGCTTTTCAAATACATTTTGACGACTGCTGTTATGTGTGCCAGCCAAAGCTTTAGCTCAACAGAGGAACACTTAATAGTGAACCGAAATAAACACAGGCTGTCTTTTGTCTGGTATAGGCGACGAGGAGCGAGGTGCGCAACGATGCGGTTGCTGTGGATAAAAAAACCAGACCGGGCTATATTCCATGTCCACATTAATAAAAAAAAAAAAAAAAAAAAAAAAAAAAAAAGACATACTCCAGAGAATAATCACGGGACATATACGCTGTTACAGCTCAAGGGTGTAAACCCTATGAAGGATCGATCATAGAACCCGATCGATCATTTCACCGTAGTTAAGGTTACCTAAGAAGACGGTGCTCGACCGACGCCACGGCGAGCTGACCATAGTCCGAGCGGTCGCTGCGACACGGCGCTGCGCACAGGAAACGGCGACAAAACAAAAACAGCGAAAATCAACAGGAAGTACGGGCAAAACGGGTCACCTTACCTTCTAAATACGGTCGAAACTCTCCTGTCAAAGATATGATAGAACCATGAACTAATGGCGTGGTGATTGTAGTGTACGCTACGGACGGCGGAGCTGCCGATTCCTCCTCCACCTCTCCGTCCCGGAGGGTCTGCGAACACTCTGCACGGAATTTGGGGGCGTCGCTCAAAATACGAAGTGGACTCTGCAGCCGAGACCGTGGTCAAAGCGACCCCATAAGGTCCACAGGAACCGCTCCTCATGCATGGACAGCTGATGGTGCCAGCGCTGTTTGGTGCCCACCTAATATCCATCACTCATCCACACTCGGGGCGGAAATGAACATGCACATCAAGTGAAAGAAAGATTTAGTTTAAAGAATCTTCTTTAAAGATTTTATAATAAACATCATATTGAAACCTCACTTGTTTTTTTCAGCAACACTATGAACACTACACACACACACACACACACACACATATATATATATATATACAATATATATATGAAATAAACTGCGTTTAAGGCCTTTCCCAACTACTAGTAGTGAAAGCAGTTTTGTAAATTTGGTCAATTTGCTGAAAAAAAGCGGGACCACGCTGTGTAGAGCAGGATTGAACCGCTGTAATTTAAAGGCTAATTAACTTCATTAAGAAACACCTCTGCAAAGCTAGTCTGTGTACAGTAGCAATGAAGTGACGATGGGGCAGAAGGCAGGCTGCGTTAAAAGGGGAACTGAATATGAACTGAAATAAAAGATTCATTGTCATGCGCTACTTCTAGCAATTTTGTAACATGGGATTCAAGAAATGTACAGTAAATGATCACAACACCAGCAAATTAACCATAAAACTGAATGATGGTAGGTGAAAGGCAAACCTTTTATCCTCACCAGACCCTGAGCTCCATTACACCTGTAGCTATTCATACATAAAATCGTTATGACGGGCCTATAGATATACGATAAGAACGACATTTGAACAAATAACTACAAAATAAAATATTTAATTATTAATTTTATTTTACCAATTCACTGAATGATTTTCTTTTAGCCTATTCACTCGCCCAGCTATGATTTTTAGCCTGTCAGTAGTCAGGGGAGTTAGCCCGGTTGTCATCACCAGCCTACTAAAAGTGTATTTAAAGTGTATAAACATTAGTGTGCTCAGCTGACGTGCACACACTGTCTGCTGAAGGTGGCTCCTCACACCGATCGAGTCCACTCCGCCTCTTATGAGAGGCCTCCGTTCTATCTGGCACGCAGCCAGAGTCCTCGTGCGTGTGCGCGCGTGTACGTGTCACTACAGAGCAGGGGCCCGCCGTGCACGCGTACACAGTTGTGGCCTGGACTGTTCGTGTAAACACAGCGTCTTCTAGTGGTCACCACAAATAGTGACACAACTTAAAATGGCCACTAGTGCTGGTGGACACTGCAGCACAGTGCCACCCCCCACCTCCACAAACACACTGGACAATCGGGATCCCATGGCCGACACCACACACGGCTGTTTATTCCTTATCCCTGTCTGTTAACCCCTAGACACACTGCTCTGCCTCTCTGCTAAGAGGTGGCGCGATTATATGAAGTGCATTACACCCTGTGGTCGACAACCAACTTGTGACGGGTTTGGCCCCGGGCCCTGCAGCAAGAGAGGCTGCCCCAAAACATAAATAAGTGAGGCTTACAAAACAGATCATTCAACAGGTTTTATTCACAACATACAGAACAATGAACCATAAGGACACACTGTAGCCAGAGAAGAACACATCTGGTGAAGAAGCACTTTTTCCCCTTTCAACAATTACAAGTTTCCTCAGAAAGCAGACAGTAACTGGCTACAAGCAGCAGACACCTATTTCAACAATTGTCAGGGTTAGAAATCAATATTTCTTTTCAGACAAACAAACACCTTATATCCTCTTACCAAGCAGCTCTTGAGCAAAAACCATAACATGTATTATTCATAAGGAGTGGTATGTGTTCACACTCTGGGCTGTAGGTTTAAATTTTAAGGCCGGTTCATCAGGTTTCAACCACCTGCTCCACACCTACAGGAGTCAACAAAGAAGGGGACATGGGTGACAGCAGGCATGGAGGTATAATGCTAGCAGGTCCAGTGAGACTTCTGAATGACTTGACCTGCGTTACACAAAGCAAACGCAACTACCATGTCTGACTCTGTTGACTGCCAAAGTCCCATCCTTATCTCTCCCCAAATGACCTTTGGATTTCAATGTCATGTTGGGTAACACAGGAGCAGTGTGGAATAACTGAGATCAAAATTCATATGTTCAGCACTTCCTAAGTTTCTACGTTAGGTTATGAAGAACATCCACTGCTTGGTCTCACAATACAACCGTCAGTGTGACACTCAATGATGACGGGAAACAATTGGACAACCTCGGGGCAGGTGAGTGAGAAGTCAAGGGAGGGTGGAGTTCTCTGATTGGTTGTTTTAAGCATTCTTCTTCTTGATGATGAGTGGCCCCACATTGTCCCCAGTTTCCTCGTTGTGTTTGGTGTGGGCTCCGTCGCAAAGAGGGAACTGCGAGGAGAAAGCACAAGTTTAGAAGAAAGGCCAGCTCTCACCAAGTTACAGCCATTTGTACTATGATATAAAATGTTACACTGCACAAGAGGCATGACACAGAAACAGTGCAGTGTCTTTTGAGTGAACATGTTAGCTGTTAGCCACAACATAAACTGTTTTATATGAAATAAAGTAGCTCTACTTGACTCATTTAAACTCCAGTGTAAATAATCAAAACAAAATCTATCTCTACAAAAGGCATACGTTTGATTTTCCTCCTCCTTATTCTGGGTCCACTGTGAACTTATTTCATGCAAAAGAGTTCTCTCCCCGTTGTATCACTCAGGCCCATTTCAGTACGAGGGCCACCGTTTTGAAATGCGACCTCTACACAGAGTGATTGCTGCAGTTACACTCAGATTCTCACTGGTCAGTGTCACCAAGTGCTCAGGCTGCTCTTGCGGCACCCTGCTGTTCAAAGTTTAGCATAGCTCTATGGAGAGAACGTTTCAATGCACGTTGCATTTCTGACCACATACTGATCAGGATGTCATTTATATGTGCAGCCAACGGATAAGCGCATGGCTGTGACAACACTGACTGGGTTGTGGCCAGAGGTGCAGCATGTTTGAAAGTCTAACCCCACCAGCAGGTAAGGCCTTAAATTGCAGAGAGCTAAGTGCATTTTGGACCCATTATAAGTTGATTTGCTACTTTAGAAAGCTCAGTAGTAGTCACAAACACTAAACTGCCATTATCAGTGGCTCTGAACTAGCTACTGAGGCCTGACCTTCTTTGACTTCCAGCAGCGGCAGTACACAGCCTTGGTACCGATGTCCTCCATGTCGAAGCTGTGGACCACTTTGGGACTGTCTTTGCACACGGATGCGTTCACCTGGCCCTTTTTACAGCTCCGCCTGTTCAGGTATTGACTGACTAGGAACCCCCCGACAGCTGCGACGACTGCCACCGGCACTGCAACTATCAAATGATCTGGAGAGTGACACAGACATGGTGAGCAGACAAATACACAAATGACATTTTACATTAAAGAACACATGTCACAGATGCTTGGTAAATACACTAAAACCAGTCTTTACTGCTAGACTATGACAAATGCCTCCAAATGTACAGCAATAAAATATAACTCAACCACTTCATGTGCTCTCCAAAATGCCCATAGTTGAAACACCACCTCTCTGACACAGTGTCATATAGCCTACCTACAGTAGAGTACACAGAGTCATGTGCCTGTTTTATTGGACCTCACTGTACAGTGTAGGAGCTCCTAGCATACTGGCTGCTCTGAGTGACTTGCCAAAGTTAATGATACCAACCGCCTATCATCGTCCTGGACCCAAAACCAAATCTCTTCCTACAGTTTCAACATGTTACACCTGCTGGTGAGGGAGGACTTTTACCGAACACGGCGTGCCCAACAGGTAAAACAATAAGCTGACAGCTTGACAGGTATGTGAAGTGGTTTTACGTTTCTAGCAGGAGCTGGTAAAGTGCCAGTTTTTGCGAGGCAATTAAAAGGATAATCCGGTTTCAGTGAGCATCACATAATGTAGTTAGTCTTTAAACCGGAGCAACAGGGGCCCTGCACTCAATCTGGATCAACAAGTTCAGCGATTAGCTGCTTCGCTGGAGCGACTAGAAGGCATGATACATAAAGCCACTCTTGCCATAGGTGGTGGGATGGCCTCCAATTATGGCCGAGCTGGTGGGGGAAAGCTACTCTAGTGTATCTGTGCGGCCGCCTCAAGTTGGAAACAACCTGTGGCTGTATCCTGCTTGGCTAAATAGCCGGCTACGGGGCGGTTGCTGACATTGCATCGTATAATCAAGTAAATCAAATCAAATTAAATTCTCAAGGTATGCGCATTAAATTTACACAACCAATCTATATCTTAAAATACATTCTGTAACGTGAGTTAGCTTGGATAGCTTCAGGACAGAATCGCAACCACTCTTCTAATGCCAGCTAGCATACCATTGGATTGGCTTAGCTAGCTTTGATACTTTACCTTTTGATAACCTGCATCCCGAGCTGGGTGATGCGGACATCGGAGGCACCGACAAGTGTGACATAGCAGGTAAACCCGGGGTAGTCAAGTTTCCTAACACGAGGTTAATTATCAATAACCGTCTAACAAGGTCAACCACGGAGTGTTATCTGAACTCTGTCCGCCCCAGCAGCGCCCCAATCGGTCTGCTGCGTCACTGTACAGCAACCAATGAGAATTGAGGGAGAGAGAGTTTACCGAAGCAAGAGGATTTCATCCGAAATATCCAGTGTACTTCCGGCTTCGCTTTCCTGCTTTTATGATCTCGTGTTCACTTGACAGCAAGTATTTTCTTTTGATTGACCCCGGGAAAATAAATGGACTAAACACATTGTTTAAAACTAGCCAACTTAGTAGTTACAAGCACTTAGTGAAGGATTTAGCTACGGAGAGTTGGTAACGTTACAGCCTGGTCGAGGTACACTTACTAGCATATCACGGTCTCCCTCGGCGGAGTTTCCTCAGTTAGTATCTAGGAAGCAGGCTTTAAGTCAAGATGTATTAGAGACATGCCAACATGTTCCATGTGACCAAGGTTTATGGTGACATGAATAACCAGTGCTTCAAATACAGACATATGCACCTTTTCGGTACTTGGTAACGCGTTACATCCCGTGTTGCTCACTGGTGCACTGCGGTTTCCAGCAGAGAATCATCTCGATGGCTTTGGGGACGAGTCGTATCCCCTTCTAGGTGGTTTCTCTCGGACCAACTAAATGCGATAATTGGCCAAAAAAAAACAAACAAACAAACAAACAAAACCTTTCTGGATTCAACTTAATGAACTCGTTCTAACAAAAACTCGGCGATCCCCTTTATAAACTATTTTCTAAAATATATTAACAGACTCGTCATAAGTGGACATTACATGAAAGCATCACTGGAGGGAGACAAAACTACCAGCAAAAATAAGGTAGAATTTTAAGGGCAATGACAGAAAATAAGGCTTATAACAGTGCAACAATCAATTCTGTCAATGATTTCTTTAAAAACCATACTAGTTTCCTACTCGGACAATAAAGCACATGTTCAGTGTGAACCTTCATATTTCTGTGACGTTTAATCATTTAGTTCCCAGAATCTGCAAAGAATGTATCAGTGGCAATTTAAAAAGCAAATAACAGTGCTACCTTGTGGTGATAGCAGGTGTTAGTCAATCTGTCAAGTTTCTGTAGAACTGGGAATGTGACTTGGCTGCTAAAGTCTCTTCTTCAAAAGGGGCTTGAGAATGAGTCAACACAGGAGCCATGGGTTTTTATTACACAGTTTAATCAACACACAAAGCTCAACGAGCCTCTCAGGTAATTCAATATACAGAGGTTTTGTGCAAGAAGAGTGGGTTCTCCTCGCACCCAGAGCCCAAGCCAGTTCCATAGTCATTTAAGATGTTAGCTTCTAATTTAACAATAGCAAAAAAGAAAAAAAAAAAAAGAAAAAAAAAAAAAAGAAAAGGGGCTATCTAAAGAGTTATGGGGTGGGGAATAAAAACACAGGTTAAACTAAGAAAAATAAATTGCTTAAATACCTGGTCCAGAACCTCCATTCTGTGAATAAAGAATTGGCGGTGGTAGTGGTGGGGATGACATGGGGTTACAGCTGTGCGTGTGTACAAAGGGGTCAAATGGGATAAGGTGGTTAGGGAGAAGGAAGTGAGGAGCAGGAGGTGTGGGGGTAAATTCAAGTCCTTTCATATAATCCAACAGAAGACCAAGATAGGCCATGTACAATGTTTCCATTTTCCATGGCCTGCAAGGATTTCTTTTAAGTATTTATTGTATAAAATACAGAGTGCCCTTTGACTCACGTGTGAAAACTGCTTTCCTGAATTGTCACCTATAAACATGGGACTTATAAAGACAACAAAACAAGAAAGAGTACAGAGTGTAAAAATTCCTCCATTTTATTGTCCCCCTCCCCCCCCAAAAACAAAACAGGACATAAAGGAAAAAAGTCCCCTCCAACTTTTACATGATGCTCAAAGGAATGCTGTTAGTGATTAACGTCTAGGGAAGGTGGCTAAGCAGGTGTGTACAAAAGAGGAGGAGTTGGGGGGCATGACAGCCCAACCTGCATGGTGACAGTACATAATGGACTACAGAAGTCAGGAGATGGGGGTTGGAGGTTAGATGGGTCTTAGCACTGCAAGCTGACAATATGTACACTGGTGGGTGGGCAGGTGAGCTGAGAGGTGTGAGGGAAGAGGGGTGAGAGAGAGAGAGAGAGAGAGAGAGAGAATATGGGACAAAGGGAGATTTACAGGGACTCTGGTGAAGGGGAGGCATGGCTCAACAAAAGCACTCCAATGGAAACCAATGAGATCTTGTTTTAAACATTTCTTTTGTTTGTATGTTTTTTTGTTTTCTCTTTACATCTGAAATCCCCCTAACCTTACATCATAGAGGTGGTTGGCCATGATTTTACTCCAACACTACATTGCATACTTTTGTGTCCATTCCCGAGCTATTTTGTTGTACCTGGGAACAAACAAAGAAAGACAGACAGGGAACTGTTACTTTTAGCCTCATACACAGCGACATAGCAGCATTGTGTGACATTCTACAAAATAAAATTTGTCACCATCACTTTTACATGTATAACAAAGTCAGCTGCAACCTGACAACAGCAGGTCACTCTCTCATACACACAGACAGTTCTGCCATTTTGCACCAAATCCAGCAGGTCAGTTTCTATTTACTCTTGCAACTGCCAGGAATCACTGCTGTCGGCCAGTCAGTAACAGGAAGAGCTGTGCTGTTCTAGCAGAGACACAGCAAAACCTCAACGACAGCCATTCCCACTCTACTGATTGTGTTTGTAATGCTTGTTGTGCAGTGCTTTCAGAAACAAGCAAAGCATCTCAAAGTAGTTTGTATTTCACTCATTTCTCCATCATGTCATGGGAGCAGAAACAAAGAAAAAAAACAGAATAATGAAGAGGAGGACTATTGTAAAAACTTGCACTTAACTCAATGTTATAAAAATGTAAAGACTCTGTATTAGCAAGAAAAGACATACCATACATGTTTTGTGATCATTAGATTTCTGTCAGCATATAAAGGACATGGATGACAGGAAATTCTAATTGGCCAGTGTGGACTGCAACTTGTCACCAAAGTAGACAGATAATGGATACTGTATGGAACTGCAAGGACAACACCAGCTGACTGCTAAGAATCTGCTTCTTTTGCATGCTGAGCCTTCAGTGATGGGCATATTTTCAAAGCCAATACACATCATTTAGACTGTCCTTTATGCCCATGTAGCCAGGACAGCTTGTCCATCACTTACAATTGGGTGCAAACATCTATATCCTCTTACTCTGAAATAGCAAAAAGAGTAAAACAAAGACATTTTTTCAAATCAACATAATATTTAATGTACATTCAGCTAGTGCAAATGTTCCTTCATCTACAGAAATAACAAAAAATGGTCAGGGAGTGTATAAGAAGAAAGTTATAGTAAAATAATGAAATTCATGCAAAGGTTTGAACATCCCTCTATGAAATGTTCCCTGATCCTTTGTATGTCCTCCCTAACCTCCTCCTACCCCTCTGGGTTCCCTCTGAGCAGCATTGTATCCTTCCAGGTTCAACTTGAACCCATTCTTCATGGTATACTTGTTTCAAATCAATGGACCTAATTAAATAAAAATATACAGTGCAACTGTGTGACCATTCAGTTTCCTTTTTAAAGTACTTTAGGAACTCCATTATTGAGATTGCAATGGCCAATTTTTTACTGAAAAGTGTTGGATGACTGTGCAAGACAAATGCATTCTAGGTCACGCTTGGGCGTGCTTCAGGCTCATAGTGTGAGTGGTACCAGAATGAAATTGGAGTGCACAATGGGGCGACGCTCCCTCCTTTTTAAAACAGCCACTCTGCACTCTGATGCACCATACATTAAATAAATGACTTACTTTTCCCTGTCCATCTTGTAGATGCGGGCGATCTCGGGTACTAAGGGATCATCCGGGTTTGGGTCGCACAGCAGAGAGCAGATGGACAGGAGGACTGGAAAGGACACGAGTTAGGATTCACACAAATTCAGACCTGATCAGAATTTCTGTCATGTTCATTCAGAAGGCCCTGGCATGGAAGGCAGGAAGAGTATGTGTCACTGTTGATAACACATGTAACTGGGATTAAAAAACGAAAACTGTTGTGTGCGACAGTCTGATTATAAGAGTGTGCGGTAGTGAACCAGCTCTGGATGAGAAGAGCGACACCTGACATCTACAGAGACAGTACTCCAGCTCAGTACAAGAACTCCTGTCAAAGAAGTACTGAAATCTAATATGTGTATTTAACATTTTCATATAAAAGGAAAACAACATGTAATGGCACCAGCATGTGTTGTCGTGCACAGAGTGGAGGTGACCTACCTTTGGAAATGGTGAGAGCCGGAGACCACTGTGATCGCAGAATGTCAAGACAAATGCTGCCGTTGCTGTTGATATTTGGGTGGTAGATTCTTGTGGTAAATGCAACCTGAAAAGAAAAGAAATGAAGGGGGAGGGGGGTGAGACAAAGGGGATAGATGAGAGAAGCAACAGGAAATGGAATAATGTAAAGCCGTGGCATGTTATAGCAGGCAAGAAGCACTCGATGCGCCTCCCTTACTTCATGTTTCCTAGTTTTTTTTGGATGTTTGTGTGTTTCTGTGTCCTGCATACCTTTGGCGGTTTGAAGGGGTAGTCTGTGGGGAAGTGTATGGTCAAGAAGAAAACCCCGCTCTGGTAAGGACTGTCATTCTAATGCACAGAGACAGAAACCCATTCAACACTTTAGTGACTGAAGTCCAGTTTTGACAAAGAGAAAGCAAACAGCACCGAACCAAAAACATATTGGCCTTCATAGACTATACAAATTAAGCAGTAGCTCCAGTTTACAGACACCCTATCAGACACTGTATCCGTTAAGCACCGTTTGAGGAGCACAATTCAGTCTTAAAAGTAATGACAGAACATTTGCATGTGCAAAGATGAAAAGCAGCATCAGTGAATACTTACAGGTCCCATTATTGTGGCTTGCCAGTGAAACACTGAAACAAAAAGCAGAGAAATCAGTTACGAAACACTAAGAACATAATGTGTGCTTCAGAAGTGTTAGAATAAATAATGCCACATCAAGTGTGCATGTTTATTTGTTCAGTTGAGTAACAGGCTCTTACATAAAGTGCAACTCAGGACAAATATTCTTGGTAACACTTCTTTTTAAATTGTAAATGGTAAAGGGTTATATAAGAGCACGCTGCCCACATTTACATTTGTAAATTTCTCTTCATGTGAATAATATCAAAGTTACTGTTGAAGAGGAGATTGTTAAATGAGGGGTGTAAAAAACTAAACTAAAATATACGTTAAAAACAATTGAATTTTGATTTGGCACTTTTTCAGCCTGTCCAAGATCAAGTCTCCTGTTGAGGTCTGATGACACAGTGTCACAGTGAGAAGTCGACCACAGTAATTATGTGTTACAAGAAACATTTCGTTGTAGTTCACAGTGGAGTGGTTTGTTTGATGACAGGAAGCAACATGTACAGAGCAACACTGCCGCTGCTGATTCTTTAACTGTCAAAATGTGACGACGACCCCACCACACACACACACACACGACAGTAGTGTACAAATGTTCAAGGCAACACCATTTAAATTTATATCACATAAGCAAAGGTGAAGATGGCAATTAAGAACTGGTTATTTTATTGAAATTCCAATTTCCCAGATTTTTGGGAGTGTTTTTTTTTTTAAAGCTCTGAAATTACAAATTCCTCTGATCTATACTTGTAGAATAGAATAACCTAATCCATATAGATGGACACGCACACACAGTCTACAGGTTGCAAGTGCACTTCGATTGCTCACATGCAGCACATTTTTTAATATCCAGCTTCAATCAAGACTGATTTCAAGCTACAATGCTCAGCAAAGCATATGGTGAAACATTTCTAAAATCTGTTGTTCAAATGTAATGTGAACAGTTTCATGGAGTATTAGTACCTACAACTAACAAAGTACTTTTTACTTACTGTACAAATTTGACAAATGTTTAAGTTTGTTAAAATTTAGAATTTATTGTATATGATGGTATGAATGTTCTTTTTAGTTAAACTTAGCTTAAATGATTAAACAAGGAACACAATTAGTCATAAAACCACTTTGTACCCATGGAAGAAATTAAAGCAGAATGAAAAATCAGACATGTTTATGTACCACATACATAAAAATGATTCAAATATTTTTTACTTAAGTTCAGCATGAGCTGCCCTGACAATCCATGATCTACCTGTATGCATGAGATAATGGTGTGGCTGTTGGTCCCTTTTGGAAACCAGAGGGGTGGTGTTCTTACGTGGATTACCAAGTTAGCCGGATAATTTTGTTGACAATTTCACATTATCCCGAATCTGTTGGAAAGGCTCAGACTCATCATACCAACATATCCATAATCTCAAGCCTGCTCAGGAGCAGGTTAGTGCTCAGGTTTATTCAATGTAAACAATCCGGTTCCAATCCGGAATCTTTTCTCACATGTATATCTATGTATGTGGAGTTCATAACAGTTGAAACCTTAATGTACATCCATGTATTGGAGGGTGTCACTGTCGAGGTGGGTAATTGCAAAACTGCTTTTGCAATTATGTGCAAATAAAATCTTTGAATTCCTCATCGCCCTCCAACCACAGAAAGACTCTCTGCTGTGGTGACAGACTGGGCTGTCTGACTCTACACTGTCTGATGTCTGACAGTGTCTAAGCAATCAGAAACCAGCTGATCATGCTTTCAGTTGTCCATATACACTCACCAACCACTTTATTAGGTACACCTGTACAGTTGTATGCAATTCAAAGCAACACTTTTGTCTTAACACCTGTGTTTATGAAACTCAAACTATTTCAGTTCATTAAATGTTTATTATTGAGATCATAGTTCAAGGTGGTTTTGTACTGGACTACATTATATTTAGAGGTGGCTCTATTTTTTTATCCTCCCGAGTTACATACATGAGGGGGTCAGAATGTTAAAAACACCTCTGAATGTAATGTAGTCCAGTACAACACCACTTTTAAGTATTACCTCAATAATCAAGATATAATTGAAATGTATACATTTATGACAATGTCACTGAAAACTGAAACATTTGAGCTTCCACACAGATGTTAACATGGAAGTGTTGCATTGAATTGCATACATCTGTACAGGTGTACCTAATAAAGCGGTCGTGCGTGTATACAGTCTATAGTCACTGACCACCAGAGCACTCACTTATACTGGATGATTGAATCCATCTTTTCTAATCCACAACACACACAGGGTCTGAAGAACTGAAATATCCAGATACCCTTAGCTGGCATTAGAAAATCTCATTTGATTTAGGATCTGTTTAGTAACAAATGAACAACACTCCCCAGGTGTTGCAGATATGATAAGCATCAACACACCCCTTCACTGTCCCTGAGTACAGTAGGTTGTACACTACCAGTATGTACTGGAATTTGCCAGTCAATACATGTGTAGCTTTTGGCAACAACTGATTGTGCCATGCATTGGATCTTACCCGCTAGGCATGTTACCTACATGCTACCTGCAGTTTGTGACATAGCTATGAACAAAGACAAACAAGCTATTGGTAACTACACGGGCTGACGAGTTACATGCCTACTGTTACGACATCAGTCCCTGGTATGAAACACTACAGGTTTTGTAAAGGGTTCCAGTTGGACGGACTGATCAATCACACACATTTTTGATTTGAATTCAAAGGATATGTGGTCCATAATGACAGAGCCTTTTCTGGAAGACAAAACTCAACAAAAACAGGATAAAATATACCCTTGAACAACCAATATATAGTAAAGTAAGTGTAGCACATCTCTCACATGGCAACATTGTATGATCAGCTGATTGCATCTTTCTGTATAACCCAGTTTCAAAATCTCCCAAATGTATCAACTCTACCAGTGTCACCACAGATGAGGAAGCATCACATCGTATCCAACACAACACAAAACCTTCACATCATCAAGATTACATTTTCATTGTATAAGCATGACTGTTGCTCCTAAGAAGCAAAGAACGGACTTACTTTTTTTTTTTTAATTTCTGACTGTACCAATACCAAACCCATAGTGTTACCTTTGTTTCCATTATGTTATTATTAGCATCAAGTTGCTGTTCTTCACAATACAAGGAGTCATATTTGGTTACAGGCAGTGTGGAGAAAAGAAACAAACACAAAAAAAAAATTTCACACACACAGAAGTAAAGCACCTGTCAGTATGACGACAGCTCACTGATTGTTGTGGATCACTAGAGCAGAACAGTCTTAACAATATCTGCAAATGTAAGCTGCTTAAAAAAAAAAAAAAAAAAACA